CTCTCCCTCGACCCGGCTGCAAAGGCAGAGCCCGCGCGCTTGATCCCCGGGCCAAAGCTGGAGCGTTCTCTGGCGGCCTCCAAGGGCACCGGTGTCCGGAAGCCCGGCCGGGGCCAGAGCCCTTTTGCTGTAGTCTCCGCGATTGCCGGGACAGAATTCCCTTCCAGTGGGGAAAAGGGAAGGCGGTCGCGCCCTTCCCGGTTCCCTGAGTGGGGAGGTGAAACCCTGAGAGTTGGGGCTAGAGGGCCCGGAGCCAGGGCCGAGGCGGCGGGTGCGCACGGTGCTCCGTGGAGCCCGAGCACCCCCCCCCAAGTCCTCTCCACCGTTTCTGTAGGAGCTCGGCAGGGAGCACACGTCCCTCGGGAAGAAAACGGCGCTGGTGGCTGGGCCCGCGCCGCGGGCGTCCTCCCTGAGCTCCTAGCGCGTGGCCTGTGCGCGTCTGTGTACCCGTCTGCGGCTTGGGGCAGGGTTGGGGCAGCACCGTGGGGTAACTATTTGCCGTTGCAGCTGAGGATGACAGCTGCAGTTTGGGGGTCCCTCGTTCTGTGTCCTGGAACTTTGTAGGGCGTGGCTCTGCCCTGGGCCTCAGCACCAGGTCTCCCCTGCCCGCCCAGGCCTGGCCACCTCCCTCTGGGATCTGGGTTTGGCTCCTGGTTGGCACTGTCAGCTCTGCAGACGCGTTTTGCCCTCTGTGATTCTGTCGCCCATCTTTGAGCACCTGCTTCCATGGTGGCGTCCTCTGCAGAACTCTGGGAGGGACATGCAGTGGGGGCTGCATCTGCTCACTGTCCGGGGTGCCTTGTCCACCTGCCTGGCCGTTTTTGAGGTGTCTGCCATGTCCGCAGCATGCACTTTGTCCTGTCAGCCTTGACCAGGGCAGCTGTTAGTTCTGAGAGGTGGACATGTGGTTGGGAATGTCAGTGAGTAGGATCTTTCTTTCTGCACACTTGTCATTAACCTGAGAACATGGCAGTGGGGGAGGGGAGGTTTGGCCCCGGGTGCACGGGACTGTGGGCTGGTCCTGTCCGTCTGCTGAGTGGGATGAGCCTTGGCCCAGTCCTGTGGACTTGGCGCAGAACCGGCCCCAGCCACGTCCTGGGGAGATTGGAGGTGCTGGCTGGTCCTGTCTGCCTCCTCCAAGGGCTGGGAGCTCCCCTCTCTTTGGACGTTTGTAGTGTAAGGTTCCATTATCCAGCAGACAGCCACTGTTAACAGTCACTCTGTTAATACGTTTTTTCTGGAGGAACGCTGGACAGAAGTAGTCACGCTCTCCAGGAAACGGGCCCCAGGCTCAAGGGGCCCAGTCTCTTCCTTTGGAGCTCAGAGGTGGCTGTTCAGCCACACCTGGCTCGCCTGGCAGTTTTTCTCCTCTGACTGTAACTAGCCCTTTCAACTTCCTGTGGCCACTGCCCCCAGAGTGTGACCTGGTCTGAGCTGATGGTGGCGTCCCTGAGCCAAGAGGCGTATGGCTGGTACCACTAGTGTTGCTGAGAACCCTTCAGGCAGCGCTCTGTGCCCGGCTGTGCCCTGGCGCTCCCCACGCAGTGCCCAAGTCAAAGGCGTGTGCCCTGTGAGGTGTTTACCCGAGTGACTCTCCTTCTAGAAGGACTTCTTGTTTTCCCCTCCACTCAGGGCTGGAGAGGGCTCCGTCCGGGTGGTGCTGACGGTGCAGGCCTGGCTCAGGGCCCAGGGGTGGCCAGGAGGTGGTGGAGGCAGCAGGTGGTGTCCTCCGGGTTCTGTGGTTGAACTGCATCGCCTGAGGGAACGCTGGTCGGAGTACCGGGGTCCTCTGGTGGTCGCTGGATTTTGGTAGTTGTGGGTAGGAGCTCTGTGCTGGGAGTGTCTGGCCCCCCAGGTCCTCCATTGTCGGCTGCAGTGGCCAGGGCCCACTACTATCCCCCACACTGGGTCGGGGTAACCCACAAGATGCCACCTGCGTCACTGACCGTCCCTTCCAGAAGCCCGTCCAGCCACACACTCCGTGTGGTATCTCCCACGAGGAAACGTTCAGTTTTTTCCTGTAAAGTCAGAAATCTCTTGGGTGGCCTTTTGTCAAACCAAACATTAACCTTGAGTTGTCTCTCTGGGTGGCCCCAGGTGGTGCCAGTTCTTATGTGCGTTGAAGGAGAGTGAGGATGGCCCTGAGGGAAGCCCAGTTGGTTTGGATGGGGAGGAGTTGGGGCTACGGCCCTGAGAGAGGTGTGGGTGGTATTGGGACCAGGCCCCTTCTGCACCCTCCCCTGGCACCACCATCAACTCCCCAGGCCTGGTGTGGCCCATGCCACCCTGCCCGCCCATGCCACCCTGCCCCGCCACCCGTGTCACCCTGCCCACCCGTGTCACCCTGACCTGCCACCCATCTGTGGTGTGAGGGCTGCTGGGCTGCCCTGTCTGCATGGCTGGCGTGAGCCTCAGAGGCGTCCGTGGCTGCCTCTTGAGTGGTGTCATGTGTAGAGTGTCCTGTTGAGAAGGAGAGGAAGGGTGTAGCCCTGATACCCCACGCGTGGTAGGAGCCGGGAAGGTGGTGTTCTGGGGGTCCTGGAGCTCACAGGGCATGTGCATGTGCTGCCTGAATAAACAGGGAAACGTACGGCTCCACGGGTGTCCTGGAGAGGAATCTTGCTGGCAAACCCGTGCCTTTGATCGCAGCCCCTACACTGTGTCCTCTGAGCTGTGATGCGGCCCCGCAGGCCCTGTGGAGTACCGTGGCTCCCTGGCTCACAGGGATGCTGCCGTCGGAGGTGCCGTAACGGCTCGTGGGTGACTTGGGCGGTGTCTGTGTGGGGCGCTGTCGTCGGAGGACCTGTATCAGTCCATGGGTGACGGGCAGTGTCTGTCTGAGGGAAGTTCTGGTGGCCCCATGCTCTCAGCCCAGTGGCTCCACGCTGCCGTGTAGGCCCTCTTGGGGGCCTGCCTTCTCTGCCGTTGAAGGGCAGGGGCTCAGTTCCCTCTGGGTGGCAGGCGGCTGTATCTCAGGACCAGAAGGCTCCAGGTCAGGCTGTGCACAGCCTTCGTTCATGTCAGCTCCTGGCTGGGCAGCACAGGGGCCTCCAGGCCTGGACAGCCAAGGGGGGCATCTCACCAATGCCCAGATGGCTGTGCTGGGGACTTATGGCAGGACAGCTTTGTCATGAGATGGCCACTCGAGCCTGGAGTAATCAGGGCTTACGGGGACAGGGCAGGGTGAGGGCTGGTGAGACTGCCCAGCCTGAGGGTGCCCTTCTGGTGGTTGGGGAGCTCCTTCCTGGGCAGCGGCTTTAGGGGCTGCTGTGGAGAGGGAGAGATGAGGTTGATGAGGAGGGGCTTTTGGGACACACTGTCCTGGTAGAGGCTGTGGGGGAGGGGAGCAGACCAGTTGGCCCAGCAGGGCTGGCCAGTGGAGGCACGTGGAGGGTTGGTGGCCACCGAGCCTGGGTCTGAGCAAGCGGGGATGGGGACCAGGTGCCGAGGCTGGGGAAGGAACGGGGGCAGCCGCTTGGTCCTGGCACATCTTGGGGTCCCCTGGGACTTCCTGGGAACCCCAGTGCCCAGAGACCCACTGTGGCTGTCTGGCGGGGGGGCAGGTCCCAGCCCGTGGTGACCCCCAGTGTGCCAGGGCAACCCTGGTCCCTCTCCAGAGTGGACCGATGCCCAGCACACACGTGGTTCAGGGCCGAGTAGGCAGGCATGGCCAACAGGAGGGAGGATCCAGCAAGCAGCTGGTGATGTGTGTCCAGAGACAGGGTGTTGACATGTGGCCAAGAGGTTCTGGGGTCATCGGGCCGCCACCGTGCAGCCCCCACCCCAGGACTTGATGGCTCCAGAGAACCTGGGGGCTGCTGCCCTCACCTCACCCCAATTTCTTTAAAATGAATTTTTATTTTAGAACAGTCTTAGCTTTATAGGAAAATAGGAAGCTAGCGCAAGCTTCCCACGTGCGCTGCACTCACTTCCCTCGTGGGTCTGTTGAGTGCTTTCTTATAACGTAAGGTTAAGCGTCTGCAGGGTGAGAACCTGGAGACCGTGCTTGTGTTGCTGTGCTGAGAGCCGTGTGTGGCTGTGAGTTTTTGATGAGGAAAAGCAGTGTGGGTCCTGGGTTTGGACAGCACAGGCCCCTCTGGGAGCCGAGTGCCTTCACCTCGGAGCGTGTGGGGGAGGTACAGAGCTGGAGCCCTTGACCCTGACCAGCCAGCCAGGAGGGCCGTAGGAGGTCAGCTCCCTGGCGTGAGGTGCCCAGGGCCTCCGGCGTCACCCTGGGTGGGGGCTCCAGGACTCGGACGCTGGCTGTCAGTGGGGCAGGTGTGGCCCAGCAGGGGGCTGCTTTGTGGGTGCACTGTGGCCCCAGGATGGTGCAGATGGTGGGCAGACCTGCCCCAGGGCTGTTTCTGAAACAGAGGCCCCTGGAGGAGAACCAGGTGCTGGGCCTCAGGTGTCTGTCCTGAACTGGGGCAGCCTTGGAACAAGGAGCCGCAGGAGGTCCCTGTGGCACGGGGCCCTGGCAGGGCCACCCCGGGGAGTGCAGGGCCACAGGAGTCCTGCCGCAGGTTCCTCGGCTCGGGAGCTCACGGCCTCCTCACTGCAGAATCTTTTCAGGAGGGCCAGGGTGGCCTTCCCACACCTGCTTCCTCCTCAGAGACACAGGTGTGGGTACATACTGGCCAGTATTGATAAGCATTGAGTGGTATTGAGGGGTGTTGATGAGCCTCCAGGAGCAGCGGCCGGCGCCGTGGTGCTGTGGGCAGTATTGATGAGTACTGGCTGGTGTTGATGAGTTTGACTGGGCGTGGGTGGCGTGGTGCTTTGCCCCCTGGCCAGGCTGGTTCGTGGGTGAAGTGTGACATTCAGGTGTTTTTCTCCTGTCCTTTTAGTTTCTGTTTTTATGCAGGATCCGGGTGCCACGGGGGGATCTGGCCTTCAGGGCAGGAGGCTGCAGCGCAGGTCATAGGGGGCCCAGACGCAGGCAGTGGGATCCCCCTCCACAGTGTTGCTCTTGGGCCCTCCATCGGGAGCCCCATACAGCACCTGCCATGAGGAGTGGTGCTGGGGACCCTGGATGGGAGCTGTGTGTGGGGCTACACCTCAGCCCCTGTGATGGTGTCTCTGGAAGCTGGAGGCGGTCAGCCTGTATGCTTGAGTCCTGCAGAGGGAATTGAGGGGCGGAGATTTGTCTGCGAGGCCTCTGGCAGGGGTCGGCCTTACGGTGCACCACCAGGGTCTTAGGCTTGGCTGAGTGGCCCCTCCTGGCCTGGCAGGCAGTCGTCTCTGCCCATGCCTGCCACGCTGCTGGGCTGGTGGTGGCTGGCTCCTGTCCTGGTTAGCCTGATGTCAGCTGCACGTTGGGGTCAGCGCCTGTGCTGTGTCTTCATGCCAGAGCAGGGGTCAGGTGTGGGTGGCTCAGTGACACCCTCCCGAGGGCTGGGCAATCGTGTGCACTCCCAGCACCCTCTACCTTGCAGGGCTGCGTTCCTGGAAGGCTTGGCCCCCTCAGGTGCCCCCTGCCCCTGTGCATTCAGCCATCAGGGTTCATGCCCTCAGCTTCCCGCCAGGCCCTGGTCGTAGCCGTCAGGAAGAGCTGAGCCGTGCTTTTGGGAGAATCGAGGGAATGTCGCTGGGATGCACCAAGGGTCGGAGGTGGAGCTGGCGTGGCCCAGGGCAGGCAGTACCAGGCCGGTTGCTGGAAAGCCAGCAGCTCCTCTCCCGGTGGCTCCTGGGAAGTTCCACATCCTTGCCTGGTCACAGAGGCCCGGGAATCGGTGACATGAGATAGAAGCTTCCAGAACAGGAGGCAGAGCCCTTCCGCAGTTTCCCTGCCCACAGCACACACCCTGTGCCCTCCACCCCCTGGTTTTTGAACACTGGGGACATCTGGGTGCGGCTAGAGCCTGTGGGGGTGGCCGCAGCCCCGGGGGGCTGTTCCCAAGAGTCAGCCTAGGGGCCACTGGGGCCTGGCCTCGGGCCTGGCACTGCGACCTCGGGGTGAGCACCCCTCGTGTGTGCGGCAGGAGCCGGGGCCCCTGGCTGGCAGCAGGCTCCCGAGTCCAGGTAGGTCCCGGACAGCAGCCCCGGGCGTGGCAGATGCAGTGAGGTCCACTTCTGAGGCGGTCCCTGGAGTCTGTGAGTTCTGGTCGGACCTTCGATGGCATTTTAATGTGTCTCTTGTGTTTGATTTTTAGTAAGACTTTGACCCCGACGCAGGCTTCAGTGATTGCCGTGGATCAGAAGCCTGAGCGCTTTGGCTCAAGACAATTAAGGACGTGGGATGAGGCTCCGAGACAGGACGCGGTTCTGCCTGGGGATCCTGAAGATAAAAAGCTTTGAAAAGTCGAATTCATGGTCGTGGAAGCTGAGGCCATATTAAGAGATGTCAGGTTGGTAGGAGTTCCTGGCGTCGGCGGCAGGCAAAGCCAGCCGGTCTCTTTGCGACCGTGTGGAGGAGGCACTGCCTCGGATCAAGTCGAGGGCCCTGGGCTGTGCAGGCGTCGGGCCTGACTGCTGCCACCTGGCCCCAAGTGTGCTCTGGGCGAGGACAGGCGTCCCTCGAGGGAGGGCTTCCTGCACACCTGGCGGCAGAGCACAGCTGGTCAGGCCTGTCCGTGGTGTCTGCTGTCTGTTTCTGTCGGATAGTGTCCGAGAGGCACGGAGGGCCTCCACGTGGAGGCCGCCAGCAGGAGGGCAGAGCCCCACATGGAACCCTGGAAATCTCAGGTGTCCACCCGGCTGCCCAAGAGCGGGGCCGCGGCCCCGGTGGAGCTGTTCCTCGTGGTTGATCTGTGTTCTCTGGCCCGGAAGTGCGTGCAGCTGGAAACAGCCTTGGGCTGGGGGGTTGCTGTAAAGCCTGCTTCAGCACAGGCCGTGTGAATGTGAAGCCTCCTGAGTGTCCCCAAGCCCGCATGGGTGGGCTGTCCAGGGGAACCCTGGCACGGTGGTCGGGGGCAGCTCGTGGGTGATGTGAGGAGGCACCTTGGGTGCCTGAACCTGATGGGGCCTCGTGTCTCCACCTGCTCCTCCCTCCCCACCGTTCTGCTGAGGAACCCAGCTCCCACTCACCCAGCACCCGGGAGTCCCTCCAGGCCGTTCCAATGAGGGACCCAGTTGCCACTCATCCACACACGGGAGTCCCCATAGGCGGTTCCACCAGGGGACACGGTTCCCACTCACCCAGCACCCGGGAGTCCCCACAGGCAGTTCCGACGAGGGACCCGGTTCCCACTTACCCAGCACCCGGGAGTGCCCCCAGGCCGTTCCGATGAGGGACCCGGTTCCCACTCCTCCAGCACACAGGAGTCCCCCCAGGCAGTTCCACCAGGGGACACGGTTCCTACTCACCCAGCACCCGGAGTCCCTCCAGGCCGTTCCGATGAGGGACCCGGTTCCCACTCCTCCAGCACACAGGGGTCCCCCCATGCAGTTCCACCAGGGGACACGGTTCCTCCTCACCCAGCACCCGGGAGTCCCCACAGGCAGTTCCAACGAGGGACCCGGTTCCCGCTTACCCAGCACCTGGGAGTCCCCACAGGCGGTTCCACCGGGGGACACTGTTCCCACTCACCCAGCACACGGGAGTCGCCACAGGCAGTTCCAACGAGGGACCCGGTTCCCACTCACCCAGCACCCGGGAGTCCCCCCAGGCCGTTCCGATGAGGGACCAGGCTCCCACTCCTCCAGCACACGGGAGTCCCCCCAGGCAGTTCGGATGCAGCCGAGTGGTCTGCAGTGGTCCTGCGTGTCCACGCCTTCCTTGTCAGAAGTGAAATCCAAGGACGCTGAGAGCAGATGTCTGTCCACTCACTCAGGAACAGCAACATAAACCTTTCCTCTCATGAGAAGTAATCACCACACACAGTGGGGAGGAAGGCCGTGTGCAGAGGGAGGCCGTGTGCAGTGTCGCTGGGCGGCTGCCTGTGGTGCTCGTGGGCAGCTGCAGTCCGGAGGGAATGAAGGAAAGGTGAACCAGGACACGGTTTTGACCGTGCAGACCCCATGCTCGGGATCTGGGCCGGTCCTGGTGCCTTTCCTGTCTTGAAGGCAAGTGGGCGGAATGGCCAGTGGCTCCTCCGAGGACGCTGGGGCGCGAGGACCTTGTGGGAGGGTCATGGGCCCAGCCGTACTGGGAGCCCTTGGCTTTGGGGTGGTCAGTGGAGACCCATGCCCCGTCCCTTGCAGACCCACTGCATCCCTGGGCTGTCCACCAGCGTTTCTTTTCTCTGCCGTGGGTTCCAAGAGGCATTTCCCTGCTTCCTGGATACTGGCAGCTCGGCGGCCTCTACTCACCAGCAGGTGGATGGGGCGGGAGACTGGGCTGAGCGTGCTTATGGCCGCGGCCACTGGGGGCCTGCTGGGTCACTGTTTCTTGGTTCTGTCCTGCACCTCCCCTCCTGCTGGCCGAACGGTTCTGGAGGCTGCTTGGTCTCCTGGGGCCGGTCTTTAGGGGTGGACCGGCTGGGCCCTGGCCCCAGCTCTGCCTCTGCCCAGCTGCCATGGGCCTGACGGTAGCCCTGCCTGGTGCTCCCTGCCCGGCACGGGGCCGTTGGGCGGTACCTGGAAGCTGCCATGCTTCTGTGACGCCTCAGAGCCCTTATTTCTCCACTTGGCCTCAGTGAAGCTTAGTTGTGTCATACGTAGAAGGAGTGGGTGTTAATGATCTTTAATCATCTCGTTCTGGGAAGGTTGGGTACAGAGTGGACTTTAATAGGTTTTAGCCCTTTTCTTTCCTTGCTCTGTTTCTTTTCCCTTTAAATCTGTAAATGGAAGTGATGCCAGGCAGAGCGTGGGGGGCGTCCCACATGAAACATTGGTGACCCCATCAGGGATTCCGGGCAGCCACGTGGTAGCCCAGGCAGGAAAGGGACAACCGTGTTCCCAAAGGCCCGTGCTGCCATCTGTGTTCTCCAGTGTCCGGGTCCCTCCTGTCCCGCTGCCTCACGGAGCTGCCCTGGGGTCTCGGAGGGTCTGGGAGGGCCTGGGAGGGTCTGGAGGTATCTTGATGGGTCTCGGAGGGCCTGGGAGGATCTTCGGGGGGGTCTCAGAGGGTCTGGGAGGATCTTGGAGTCCCTAGGAGGGTCTGGAGGTTCCTTGGGGGGTCTCGGAGGGTCTCGAAGTGCCTCGGAGGGTCTCAGAGGGCCTGGGAAGGTCGCAGAGGGTCTGGGAGGGTCTCGGGGTCTCGGAGGGACCTTGGAGGGTCTGGGAGGGTCTCGGAGGCCCGGCGCCCAAGGAGGATGGTGGTGGGTGTCTGCAGTCTGTGTCCACTCGAGTCGGTGAACTGAAGCACACACGAGTCTGTCTTTCCCGTGGATTTTTAATTTACTTTTTACAAATAACAAAACGTATAGGATAGAAAACCCCCGGGCATCAGCCCTCGTTGACCCGTGCACGGTGGGTGGCGTGGAGTGGGCTGTGGCCGCAGGGCCGCAGTGGTGCGAAGCTGAGCACTTGCCTCTGTCTTGCAGGCGTCCGACCTCCAATCATGAACGGGCCCCTGCACCCGCGGCCCCTGGTGGCGCTGCTGGACGGCCGGGACTGCACAGTGGAGATGCCCATCCTGAAGGACGTGGCCACTGTGGCCTTCTGCGACGCGCAGTCCACGCAGGAGATCCACGAGAAGGTACCACCATGGCGTGGGGCTGGAAGAACCACACGCTGGAGGGGAGTGGGGAGGGACGGGAGCACAGCAAGCCCAGGCCGAAGCGGGTCTGTGTGCCACTGGGGCAGGAGCGGCCTCTGTCCCAGTCGCCCTGCGCCATCGGGAGGTGGACACGGAGTTTCCCCTGCGCCCCGTCGGGAGGTGGACACGGGGTTTCCCCTGCGCCCCGTCGGGAGGTGGACACGGGGTTTCTCCTGAGCCCCGTCGGGAGGTGGACACGGGGTTTCTCCTGCTCTCCACTGGGAGGTGGACATGGGGTTTGCCCTGAGCCCCATCGGGAGGTGGACACGGGGTTTCCCTGTGGCTTCTTGATTCATTTTCAGTTTTTCCCAGGGAGCAGGTCCTTTTGTGGCGGGGGTGGAGTGAGGTGCTTTCCCCCGCCTCAGATGCACAGCGGTCTCGGCATTGCCCACGACCTGGCTGTGGTCCAGCAGTGGGCAGCCTTTGGGCAGTTTTCCTGATTCATGTTTGCTCAGGAGCTCCACAGGCTCCTCCGTGATGAGGGCTAGGTTGGTCCGGCTCCTCGTAGCCAGGGATCTGTGATTCAGAGCAGCTTTTTCCTGAAGACAGATGAAGAATCTGGGCCCGCAGGAGCTCACGGGATAGGGCCAGGCCCAGGCCGCAACCCGGAGAGGCCCGGAGCCTGCAGAAACGGGCGAGCCTCGCCAACTCTGGCCTGGGGCGTTGGCTGTTCTGGAAGAAGTGGCTGAGAGGCTGAATTTGGCTTTGCTGGGTGCGGGACCCTGCCGGGATATCCATGGCCCAAAAGGTGACACCTGGAGTGAGGGTGAGCTGGGTTCTGACTCGCCACACGGTTGGCACTCAGCCTACTGATGTCTGAGAAACCTTGAATCTGGATTTTCAGGGGCCCCGCACTGCTGACCCCAGGTGCAGAAGGAAATGGGACGGCCCCTTTAGAGGAAGACAGCGTCAGCCCAGGCCTCAGGTCATTTCTAGAAATCCTCGTCTGGCGCGGGGTCCGTCAGACACAAGCAGAGGTAACCAGGCAGTCAAGGAGATGCACAAAACCCACCAGCCAGGGAAGCGGCGCCGGCCCATAGGAGCTCCCTGTGCTGCCCACGGGCCAGTCACCCCAGCACAGCCCCCGGGAGGCCGGGCCAGACACCCGACGAAGAGCTGATGACCCTGAAACGGGGCGTAGCAGTGTCAGGGGAGAACATGAGATGTGAATCTGAGAAATGCTGAAGCTGAACGGGGGAACTGAGGGGCGGGTTTACCAGCGGGCCGGGCAGCAGTGGACAGGCGGGAACGCGGGAGAGGGCGAGATGAGGAAGAGTCTCCCTCACAGAAACTTCAGAACAAGACAGGGAAGGGGCTGGAAATGATGACGACCGCAAAAGCATTTCCAAAACGGACAGAAGACAACCTGATGTTAAAAATGTGCGTAGTCTGCCGGGAGCTCTGCCGGGGCATTCGCTCTGGGAGATTCTTCACGGTTTCTCATGGGGTTAGATGTGTGCTTGTAATGTAGCCCAGGGGCCACGCTCCTTTATCCTGGAGACTCGGAACGTGCGGCATCCACACGCCCAGCGGCCACACCCCTTTATCCCGGAGACTCGTAATGTGCCGCATCCCCACGCCCAGCGGCCACACCCCTTTATCCCGGAGCCTCGGAACGTACATCCACACGCCCAGCGGCCACACCCCTTTATCCCGGAGACTCGTAATGTGCCGCATCCCCATGCCCAGCGGCCACACACCTTTATCCCGGAGACTCGGAATGCGCATCCACACACAGACCTGCACGTCATGCTCCCTGGCAGCTTAACTCACCATAGCCCAAACTAGAAGACCATCCCCCAGGCTGCCCTTCAGTGAGTGAGTGGCCGGGCGAACACTGGCCACCTCCCTTAGTGTCCTCCTCAGCAACAGGCGTGAACTCTGGGTCCCTGCCACACCCTGGGTGATCTCGGCAGCGCGGTGGTGAGTGAAGAAGCTGGTTTCAAGGGGGGCACGCTGTATCATCTGTTCATCCCCAGCTGACGGGGTGAGCGTGACGGAAACAGTTGCCCGGGGTGCAGGTGGGGGATCTGCCGGCGGGCCAGTGTCCGGAATCAGCGTGTGGGTACATCACGTGGGTGTGTCCACACGCGTGCAAGGGGCTGTGGGTGAACTGCCCGTGGTGCACACCTGAGGGAGTCATGTGGCACCAGCTCGGTTTTGGTTAGGTACAGTTTTCTCATTGGGAAACTGTTTGTATTAAAGATATACACGTAGAAATGAAAAAGAGGCTCGTCGAAAACTTTCAATATTGTAAGCAACACTGAAACAAGTTTTGCCAACGAACTGGAAAACTAAGGCAAAACAGATGTTTTTCTAGAATTGCAGTAATCCCAAACTGCCTTGCCAGGTTCATATAAAATGCAAATCAGTGGTCGGGGTGCGGCCGGCGTGGGCCCTGGCGTGAGACAGACTTCCTGCTCCCCACCCAGACTGCGCAGCCCAGGGCAGAGAGAGGACAAGGTAAACAGAAAACCACCCCAGGGGACGCAGCTGGATTCTTGGAAGAGATGAGTGTTGGGAACGGTCCTGGCATCCCGGAGGGGTCTGAAGCAGCCCCTAAGCAGAAGGAGAGCAGGCGCCGCAGAAAGGAGCCCCCAGAAACTAGGAGAGCTTGAAATTTAAAACGTGAGTGAAAATCTAATAACAGGAAGTTTGAAGACACAGGGAAATGGCAGAAGCTGGAGATGGGAAGAGAAGCCACAGCCTCCCGGGGCTCCGTGTGGAATCTGAGGGGGCCGCCTGGATGCCGAGTCCCTGTTTCACAGTGTGTGGTCCTGCAGGAGGAGCTGGCTGCCCATGCTTTCTTGCCACTAGGGGTGGCCAAAGGACTGAACTCCAGCACAGAGGGGAGCAGGGCCTCTCCCTGCCATCCCTTCCCTGTCCCTGCTGGCCGGAAGCCAGCTGTGATGGGCGGAGCCTGGGTAGCCACCTTGGACCATGAGTGGAGCCGTGTTGGGAACCGTGGAGCGACAAGACAGGAGGCAGGGACCCTCGTGGCTGTGGAGGGGGCTGCGGGCCACCTGTCTGCAGGCTTTGGCGTGGGAGGAAACTGAGCGCTTGCTTCATGTGTCACTGTCAGTCAGGAATTTGTGCCTCCTGGGGCAGAAACTTCCCGCATAGCTGTTTGGATGTCGCTGCTGTCTGAGTGCCGTGGAGGGAGAGAATGTGATACCGTCAGTGCGGTCATAGGAAGAACAGAAAGAATGTCGGGGCCTGGGAGGCACACCGCTGTTAAGGTTCAGGATTAGGATTTTATTGATACCGTGGGTGGGGGGATGTCACCGACGAGGACACGAGACTCAGCACAGCACCCCCCGCCTGCTTTGGAATTGCCGTAGGAGAAGGGTTTTCAGCCCAGCACTGCACATCTGATCAAACTGCTGAGCAAGAAAAAGGAAGGCCTGGGGCCCGGAGGCTGCGTCCGGTGTGGGCTGCGGGACCTGGAGCGGCAGGGCAGCTCCGGGAGGGCACAGGATGCAGTGGTCCGCAACGACCTGCAGCCAGCTGGACAGTCACACTCCTGCAAGACAAGCATCTCCCGGCCTTGGGGGTAGGGAGGCCGCCAGAAAGCCCCGCTGGACAGAGGTGCTGGGGCTGTGCAGGAAACGAAGTGATAGAAATCCGGGAAAAACACACAAGCTGGCGTTGTCATGGTGACCAGGAAAAACAGGCTGGCGTTGTCATGGTGACCGGGAAAAACACACAGGCTGGCGTTGTCATGGTGATGGAGTGCGGGGCAAGCCCCTTGGTCTCTTGCTGGCAGCCGGCACAGAGACAGGCTGCCGTGGGCTCTGACCTTAATACCGGGTCACAGTCGCTTCTAGGAGCAAGAGGACGGATACCCCATGCCGTATACTGGGGCCTGTTTCCAGGCACACTGTCCAGTGCCCAGCTGAGCCGTGGGTGCAGTGCGGCCCCCGCAGTGCATGTCCAGACCCCAGGACCCACTCTCAGGTCTAGAAGATCCAGTTGGGCAGTGTTGGTACCACCAAGAGTGGACAGGACAGAGGAGCAGAGACGGCCCCACCCAGCAGGACGCAAGGACTCGGGCAGTGGCTTTTCAGGTGTGTGGGCTGAGAACTGGGGAGTCGGTGAATTCTGGGGCCCCTGGGGTAGCCATTCGGGAACGGCAGCAGCTCCCCCAACCGCAGATGCTCACTGCCCACAGAAGCGGCCACGTGTTTGAATGAAGAGCAGTTAGAGGAACATTTGCAAGAGAATGTGTTTACTCACTGATGTTATGACAACACAGAAAATAACTCTTTCTGTAGAAAATGTGATACTAGAGAGGAAAAGGTCACTTTGATTAAATGGCAATTAGAAATAACAACATTGCAAGGCCGGGTGCAGCAGCTCACACCTATAATCCCAGCACTTTAGGAGGCCGAGGCGGGCGGATCACTTGAGGTCAGGAGTTCGAGACCAGCCTGGGCAACATGGTGAAACCCTGTCTCTACTGAAAATACAAGAATTAGCCATGCATGGTGGTACATGCCTATAGTCCCAGATACTCAGGAGGCTGAGGCAGGAGAATCTCTGCAATCCAAGAGGCAGAGGTTGCACCGAGCCAAGATTATGCCACCGCACTCCAGCCTGGGCAACAGAGCGAGACTCCGTCTAAACAAAAAAAAGGAAAAAAAGAAAGACATAGTAAAACAAATTTTAAAAACAAAAACAGGCGAGAGATAGGGGTTGGGTATTTTCAATTTGTGTGCCAGCCTAAGGGTGAATGTCTGATATAATCAGAGCTGGTGCAGGGGCCGTGCCTGTAATCCCAGTGTATCCAGAGGCCAAGGCCGGAGGATCGCCTCAGCCTAGGAGGTCAAGTCTGCAGTGAGTCATGATTACACCACTGCAGTCCGGCAAGATCCTGTCTGTAATATAAATAAATGTAAAAGTCTGTGTATTCAGAGACTCCTCCCAATCAGTAGGAAACAGAAAAATTCCAGCGGAAAATGGATGAGGGCAGTGGCGTTTGGGTATAGACAGAGCGATGTATGAGAACCGGGGTGCCCCTCCCGGGTTCTCATGGGTGCAGCAGTCACCGCCGGTAACCACTGGCCTGGCCTGCACCGAGCCCTGCACCAGCCATGTTGAGGGAGCCTGAGCCTGTGCCTTCATATGAAACAGAAACGGCCATACCAGTCTCGATGGTTTTGGCAGTTTCTCTGGAAATCTGAAACCTGCGGTCTTCGGCCCAGCCCCACCCTGGGCCTGCATGTGGCTGCGTGTCGTAGAGAAGCATCTGCCCTGATGGTGACCTGATGTGAGCAGCAGTTTCAGAGTAAGCCACACCTGTGCACGAGGTCTGGAAAGGTAAGTGCGATGTCACTGAGTCCTGAGCACAGGAGAAGCAGGTGGCGGAACTGCATGGCCGGAGTTGGGCCTGGCAGGCCCCTTCCTGACCCCCAAGAGCTGGCTGCCACCAGCAGCCTCCTGGTGTCCTGGGGTCTGTTTCTAGCCCGGTGGCAGCCGAGCTTCCTGGGCACCCGGCTTTCCCCAGGCCTGCTCTGAGCGCTGGAGTTGAGGGCACTGAGCAGAGGGGGACTGAGCCCCTGGCGGTGGAGGGGACACACCAGTGGGTACTGGCTGGGGATGGCTTCTGGGAGGCTGCTGGGTCCTGATCTAAAGGAGCACAGCTGGCTGTACCCACCTCCTGCAGACTTCCTCTGTGGGAGACCGAGGCAGTAGGCAGGGTGGAGCAGCCACGTGGCAGCCACGAGGGGGACAGGAAGGTAGACCCCGAGGCTGACGAGCCACTGTGGCACCCTGGCCTGTGGACCTGTGGATGACGTGGCCGCCACGTGGTAAAGCGTACACGCTAGCGGCTCTGGCGCTGCAGCTGAGCACAGGCCAACCTGGTACGTGGCTGCGGTCGGGGCATGGGGTCTCCGAGCCGTGTTGAGATTCCTGTAGTGAGAACGCATTCACCTAATACCTTGTTAAAAATATATTCAGTAAGGAGAAGGGCAAGGTCCTGAAAAAGTGCGTTAAGAAACGTGCCCGGGCAAGTGAGTAAAGCCTCGTCAGGGGGCAGCTTGCACTTCCCAGCTCAGCTGGGTCTTCAGCCTCTGCAGCTGGTTGAGCCCAGAGCCCGAAGGAGGCCCTCGGCCGGTGCACGTTTCGTCTTCTCAAAACTTATCTCGATGAGATAAAAAAATGTTCATCGCAGAAGAGCCAACGCGGGAAGCAACCTTAAGGCCGCACACATGAATATTCTTCATATTCACATGAATCGATCGCCGTCTGATCCGAATGTGCAGGAGGTGACGTGCCGCAGTTCAGAACCGACTTTTCAAAGCCCATGGCCGATGCTCAGAGTGAAAGCAAGCTGTTGCCTGCGTACACACAAGCCCGTGTGGTGTGGGTCTCTCCAGCCTGTCCATGCCGAGCCTCTGTGTGCACACCGTGGGAGCAGCCCCTGCATGTCCAGCTGTCCAGGCCGGGCCCCCGGGCTCATGTCTGGCGCCAGGCCTGTCCCTTACCCCATGGCCCATCTCCCACTGCGTCTCTGCCCACCACTCGCACGCACAGCACCTCCTGCCCACAGTGGGTGCCGACGAGGCTTCACCTGCAAGCGACTCCCTCTTAGCTGCAGCTGTTCTGCCAAGCTGCCCAAGGCACCTCCTGGGGGTGTGGGCGCCCATCTCCAATCCACACAGCGCAGGGGTCTTTCTGGCTGCACCGCTCGCCGCTACCCACGGCCGTGCACCAGTCACCCACTGCTGGCCTCTGCCCGTGCTGTCCTCCTTGTGGCCTCACCCAGTCCACACTACATCTGGTCAGGTCTGGTACACCAGGGGTCGCCCCGTCCACACTGTGTCTGGTGCACCAGGGGTCTGCACGTATGCAGCCTCAAAGCCTTCCCAGGCGGCCCGGGGCAGCCATCAGCCCTGTCTGTGAACTGATGAGTGCTACACCCATTCCTCTGCGATCTGGACAGATGCCTCCCTGCCTCCTGCGGCCGAGCTGCTCCAACTTTCCCTTTGTCCTGGAGAACGCCTAGGCCAACCCGGGGCTCCCCTGCCCTGCTGCCCAGCCTCTGCCATGGCCCTGGTCTGTGTGGTCCCCCATAGTCCCATCCTCTAGGTCCCCTGCAGTGGGCAGGAGGGAAGGGAGGCTGTGCCAGCCTCAAAGGGAACCATCTGTTCTGGCCAAGCTGGAGGTCCGGGCACTGGAGGAGAAGGGGTTGCAGCTGGGTGGTGAGCGTCTTCCTGGGGGCTGCCCTCACCACCCCCCCCCCAACGTGTGCCTGCCCAACACCAGCTGCTCTACCCAGGACCCGGGCAGTCAGCTCCCACAGGACACCCTGCGGTCCAGCAACCCAGGCACTGCCGCCCAGGATCGGCAGGCTCCACGTACGGCGGGAAGGGAGGGAAAGACGCTGCCTAGGCCCCGGCTAGCTCTGTGCTGAGCCCGTGGTGTTGGTCGGTCAGGAGTACCTGGGGGCCCGCTGGCAGGGGGCGGGTGGGAGTCACATCTTCACGGGAGGCTCAGTGGTGTCTCCCGGGACTCAGACGTGCCCATGTGGACAAGGTCTGCGCGTCCTGGTGTCCTGAGCCGTAGCTGTTTGCATAGAGCCCCTCTGCACCCACGGTGGGCGTTGTCACGCACGAGTGTGGGATGCGTGAGTGTGGGATGCACGAGTGTGGATGCACGTGTGTGGGTGGGTGTTTTCAGGTGTGGGTAGATGCACAGGTGGTGCACACACACCCCCACCCTGTGCCCAGTGCCGCGCGTGGTTCTTCTGCCTAGGGCACTTCCTCCACCTATGTGCCTCTGCACCCCACGCTACCCCGCCCTCCCTGGACTGGGGGTAACTGGGAGCCCTTGGTAGGGGGGGTTGGCGGTGACCACAGCAACACCTGGTGCTGGCTGAGTGGAGGCGCCAGAGTTGGGCTGCTGTGCTGTGTGCTGGGTCTGCATTTGTCGGAATTCGTTCCGGTCTAGAATTTGTCATGGAAACTGAAATTACAAGCATGACTGTTATGAACATAGCTCAAACCCAAGCTTGCTAGCCATGCTGTGCCCGCTGTGGGCAGCATTTCTGGGCGGGTTCTCAGGCGACACGGGGGCAGTGTGTGCTGCTGTGGTGGTGTCCTTGTGGCTGGGTGGCCCCTGTCTGTCTCTGCCCACGTGCTTGTGTGCCCCAGGGACTTACCACTTTCTACCCGCACCCCTGGGCCTGCAGGTCTCAGGTGCCCAGGCTGCCCCCACCCAGCCGCGCCTGCTCAGCATCCTTCCTGGGTGTGACTGCACCCCCCGTCCTGTGTCCTTGCCTGGTGCAACCCCATTTCTTCCACAAGGCTGGGCAGAGTCTCAGGGTGGGGCGCACACTCAAAAAGAAACATCTCAGCTGTCACACTGGGAAGCAGGTGACTCTGACCAGTGCCAGCCTGCAGCCTACACATGGCTGAGGACGCTGCGGTGGGAATTGCTGGGACTCGGGATGCCTGGGCAGGGATTGAGGGGTAGCGCATGGTGGGGAGGTGTTCATGTGGCCTCCCCCAGTGTCCAGGCTGGTGCTTGGGGAACAGAGCCTGAGGGCCACAGACTAGTTTCCCAGCCAGGCTCAGCCCCACCGCCGAAGGCCAAGCTTGAGGCTCTGCAGGCGCTGGGCTCAGCCCATGTGTTTTCTCCTCGCTGTAGGTCCTGAACGAGGCCGTGGGGGCCCTGATGTACCACACCATCACACTCACCAGGGAGGACCTGGAGAAGTTCAAAGCCCTCCGCATCATCGTCCGGATCGGCAGTGGTTTTGACAACATTGACATCAAGTCGGCTGGGGATTTAGGTAGGCCGGCTCCGAATTATCTCCTGTGCCCATGCATGCGAGCTCCGTCCCGTCTTGCTTCATCCATGGAGGCTTCACTGCCACACCAAGGACCCCGTTGCACATCGCCTGGTGTGGCTGGCTGTGGCGTGCAGTCCCATCTAGGGCCAGCGTGAGGCTGCAGCCGTTCTGTTCCTCACAGAGCCTCACCTCGGGGCACTTCCTCTCTTTTGGGCAGTAGGAAATCCAGCTGCGACTTCACACAGGTCTGCGTGCATGTCTAGCTAGTGCCCCTTGCTTGGGTACCGGGGCCCTGGGGGTGAGGGGCAGGGGCGTCAGAGTGTGGCTGTAATAGGGCTCATAGGTCTCTGTCCCAAGACACAGCGGGAACAGCGGGGTGTGTCGCAACCCAGTACACATGCACTGAGCACGTGGAACACACAGAACACGCACATCTGCACCCGTGTACGTGCACTCAACACACAGAGCATGCACACACATCTGCACCCGTGCACGTGCACTAAGTACTCGGAATGTGCACACTCAGCACACAGAACATGCACATGCATCTGCATCCGTTCATGTACCCTGAGCACATGGAACACTCAGAGGACACGCACATCCGCACCCGTGCACGTGCACTTGGCACACGGAACACGCACACAGCACACAGAACACGCAGACGTGTCTGCACCTATGCTCATGTACTCAGCACATGGAACACTCACAGAACACGTACATCCGTACCCATGCACCTACACACGCACACGGAACGTGCCCACGTGTCTGCACCCCTGCGCACTCATTAGAACAAATCAGGGCGGTGCTTGGCCGTCCTGCGTGGAGCGCACTTTGTTTTCTGCCAGGCTCCGTCTGTTGTGGGTTGTTTTTGTTGGTTTTTTTTTTTGAGACAGAGTCTTGCTCTGTTGCCCAGGCTGGAGTGCAGTGGCGCGATCTCGGCCCACTGCTGCTTCCGCCGGTGCCCATGGGCCAAAGCCATGTGCCAGCCCCCTCCCGCCTTTGTCTCTGTGACGGCATCCTGGGAAAGGCCGGCTGTGGTGTCAGGCGCAGGCCCGGCTGTGCGGTGTTGGGTGCAGTCCTGGCTGTGCGGTGTCGGGCGCAGGCCTGGTGCTTTCTGAGCGACCCCTGCTGTTTACTATCTCTGTTGCCTGTGGAGTTTCCCAGGCCCGGGCTCTGTTCTTCAGCCAGGGACAGTCTGGGGCGCCGCTGGGATCTGGCCCACGCTCCGACGCCCCACAGTCAGGAGGCCTTTCTTCCAATCTCGTGTGGTGCTTGGCTTGGCTCTCCCTCAGTCTCCCTTGTTTAACGTTTTTACGTCCAAGTGAGTTGTGTCTGGGGCGATGTGGGATCCCACCCTTGGCCTTGTGCAGCGCCTGCCCACACTGCCCCACGTCAGGCCGCCTCCCGACCCTCGGAACCCCTTGCAGAACCACCCGGTCCTGTCTAGCCTCCGGGCATATGAATGCAGCCCTGTCCTGGCCTCCTGCCCCTTCCTCCTCCCCAGAGAGACAGACGGCCAGTTGGACGGCCAGTCAGACGCAGGAGTGCAATCATCTGAATGGGGCGGGAAGTGCCGTGCAGGGGAGGCGCTGGCCAGGGACAGGCCAGGGATGAGGATAAATAGGCTTAGGGAGGGGCCCTGGCCGGGGAAGGGCCTGCCTCTGGGACAAGGCTGGGAGCGGGCAGTAGGGGTTACACTCGAGAGAAATGGGATGGATTTGCTTTCCAGGAATGGCTCCAGCTTCAGTGTTACTGACTGCGGGGTGTAGGGCATGGAGGGCGGAAGGGGCTGCGGGGGCCTGGCTTGGCCTGGGGGAGGCCTGAGGACATGTGCGGATGTCCATGTAGGGGTGTGCAGGTGGGGCCAGCACCCAGATTCTGACCTGGCCGCAGCCTCCCCGCAGGGTCCCCCTGGAGGAATCAGGGCAGCGAGGTGACGCGGGGAGACGTGCTTGTCTCTGCCTGGGCTCCCAGTGCTGAGTTGGGAGGGGTCAGGGCAGTGTCTCACGCCCCGGCCCCACCACACACCAAGCAGTTGCCGAGCGTGTGCTGCACGTGAACCCAAAGTGGAGGTGGGGCTCCAGCCACAGGGCACGGCGCCAGGCCAGGTGCTCTGTTGCCCCCGAGCCTGGGAGATGTGCGTTCATTTCGTGGCCTCCCAGCGTGGCCTTGGGGACGTGGCCTTTGGCTTCTTCCTCGGGAAGCTTCAAACCTGCTCCAGCCACAGTAGCCCTGGTGTCCTCCCAGAGGCTGGGCCTGGCCTGGAGGTGACCGCCGTGTCCTTGTCCCCACAGGCATCGCTGTCTGCAACGTGCCTGCGGCGTCTGTGGAGGAGACGGCCGACTCGACGCTGTGCCACATCCTGAACCTGTACCGGCGGGCCACCTGGCTGCACCAGGCATTGCGGGAGGGCACGCGAGTCCAGAGCGTCGAGCAGATCCGCGAGGTGGCGTCCGGCGCCGCCAGGATCCGTGGGGAGACCTTGGGCATCATCGGACTCGGTGCGTCAGCCACAGCTCCGTGCCTGTGTCCCTCCCTGTGTCTGGCGCTGCTGCTCTTCAGCCGTGCCCAGAAGGAGAGGCCCAGGGCGGGGTGGGGCTGCGGGTATCGGTCCCAACCCAGGACAGGACTGAGTGCAGCCCAGGCGCCAGGGCCCAGGAATCCCAGGCTGTGTGCCCTACGTACGCAGACGTCACAGCACACATGTGGGCCTTACACGGGCACACACGGATGTCACAGCACACACGGATGTCACAGCACACGCGGATGTCACAGCACACACAGCCTCACACAGACATCACAGCACACACATGGGTCTCACACTGGCTTTCACAGATATCACAACACCACAGCACACGTGTGAGCCTCACACAGACAGCACGGCACACACTGACATCACACACGGACGTCACAGCACACATACAGGCCTGCACGGATGGCACGTGCCACAGCACACGTGGCCTCACAGATGCCACAGTACACATGACCGCATGGGCACACACAGACATGACACATGGATGTCACAGCACACACATGGACCTCAAGGGCACACACATAATACATGGATGTCACAGCACATAGCCTCACACAGATATCACAATACACACGTGGGTCTCACACCGGCCTGCATGGACGTCATAGCACACACGGCCTGTGCAGATATCACATAGAACACCACAGCACACATGGGCCTCACGCAGACATCACTGCACACACAGACATCATACACGGATGTCACAGCACACAGCTCACACAGGCCTGCACTGATGTCCCACATGCCACAGCACACGTGTGGGCCTCAGACATCACACATGGACATCACAACACACACATGGGCCTTACACAGGTACACACAGACAACACAGACATCATAGCACCCACAGCCTCACACAGCACACACATGGGTCTCAGGCCTGCACAGACATCACACGGACGTCACACACACGTGAACTCCACACAGACATCACATGTGGATGTCACAGCACACACGGGCCACACGGGGACATGCAGATGTCACGGCACACACGGATATCACACGGCACACATGGGCATCACATGGATATCACAGCATACACATGATACCACGTGGACACACACCGATGTCAGTCATGGGCACATAAGCAGATAGACACGGGCATACGTGTGGGCACACACATCAACCACGGTCTAGCACGCGCTCACCCCTTGAGGCCTCTGGGGCTGGCTGCGTGGGTCCTGCTGGGGCTGGGGTTCGGGCAGCCGCCGGCTTCCTCCGCTGTCACCAGCAGCCGGCCCTGTGCCCGGGGAGTGGTTTGCCCCTCAGCAACCCCTTGCTCTTCATTTGCCCACTCGCTCTGCAGCCGCCTGTCCTGGGCCCAGCACCGTCCTGGGTCCAGCATGCAGCAGTGAGCAGGCCCCACACAGCCAGGCCCAGGTTGAGCTCAGAGCAGCAAGCGTGTGTGTGTGATCCTAGAGTGGAGCCATGTCTTGAGAGAGAGGAGCTGGGAGAGGCCAAGTGAGGTCACGGGGGAGCATCTGGGAGGGGCCCAGGTGTGAGGTGGGAGGTAGGAAGGTGCTCCCGTAGAGGGTTCTTAGAGAGGGTGGGTGAGGGGTGGTGTCCCTTTTCTGAAGACCCCCTGGACATCTTAGCCCAGGTGCCTGTCTCCCCAGATCATGGGTTCCTAGGAGCTGCCTGCGCCATTCCCCAGGAGGCCCCGTGGGGATGCGAGGACCTTGCCGTGCCGGGGATTCCCCTTGACCGGCCAGCCCCCCGCTTCCCAAACATCCAGGCAGCCCACTCCTGCTGACCGCTGTCCTTGTCCCGGCAGCGTGTGGGGAATCAGATGTTTCGGGTGGTCTCGGTGAGGCAGACACACCTGGGTTAGTGGGAGAGGCTGGCTCATGGATGTGCATGGAACACGTGCTTGTTTCTTCCTGGACACATCTCTCACGGCCTTGCTGGTGCCCCCACCAGGACCCCAGGGCTGGCTGGAACCTGTGAGGATCCCGGAGCCCTGAGGTGCCCATTCCTCATACCTCTGCCCTTCTGAGGCCTGGGCGGCCCCTCCCCCCTCAGGGCCATGGCCCGTGTGTGGTTTGTTGAAGGAGGGAAGGAGGGAGAGTGGGTAGGTCGGGGCAGAGGTCAGAAGGGGCCGGGGACTCAGGGCTCTGTGGACCTTCAGCTCCATGGGCTGTCCACCGGCCTTGTGCAGGAGCAGTGCCTCAGCTGTCTCCAGAGCAAGCCCACAGGGCGGGAGGGGCCTCGTGTGCCTTGCCTGCAGGGCGCGGCCTGTCCCGCAGCCACAGGTCTGACACCTCACCTGGGGTGTCTGAGGGACTGGGATGTGGGGGGTTGTGGGCTGTGTCTGTGTGTGGCCAGGGATGTCTGTAGTTCCCCTGGTAAGAACAGGTGGGTGTGTGGTCTCCAGAGTCCTGTAACCTGTCTCTCTTGGGGTTGGGGTCTGTGGTTCCGGCCCTGAAGGCCCCACCCTCCCCGTGGCCACTCTGAGGCCTGAGGGTGGCGCCTGCCCAGGCTGAGTGTGGAACTGGGCCCAGCCGGCCCCTCCCAGGGCCCCGTGCTGAGTGGGGATTGGAGCACCCAGGTCAGGATGCCCTCAGAGAGCAGGGCTGTGGCCACCCCCTTCCTTGAGGACCCCACCTGCCAAAGCCCCCACCCAGGCCTGGCCTGAGGAGTGCGGGTGGGTCCTGGCGTCCTGGGGAATGCAGGGTGGACCTGGCAGGTTGTGGGGGTCTGCCATGGGCGTTCTCCCCTGCAGTGGCCCAGGTCGTCCTGTGGGCTCTCAGGCAGGCGTCCCTGGAGCGGCTGGGCTGCTTCCCTTGCTCTGGGCGCAGGCCTCTCTACCTGTGGTGAACTCTTGGTGACCCAGGCCAGGTCAAAGCTCCCTCAGCCTTGGGAGCTGAGGAGAGCAGTTCTGTCCTTAGGGGCACAAGTCCCCTGACGCTGCAGCCTCTACCTCGTGGACAGGGACCCCCTACCCCAGCCTGGCCGCCCACCTGGCACCTGCGCCCCCCTGCCCCTCGCCCTTGTCCCTGAACCCCATCCCCACCCTCTGGAAGAGCCTCGTGCTCTGGGTGGGGCCCGTGCTGGGCACCAGCCACTCAGGCTCTCCCAGGGTGTGCCTGTCCCGATCTCCTCTCTGCTGGGCACACCCTGTGTCTGGGTTGTTCTTAGCGTGGAATCCACGCGTGTGGTGACTACAGGAAGCTGGAAGCCCTGGGCAGTCTGTGGTTCACGGTGTTGCTGCCACTCGGTGTGACGAGGCGGTGGCCGCTTCTGCTCTACGAGGCTCTGGTGCTGTGACTTACGTCTGCTTCTTGTTTTTTTCTTTCCTCCCTCCTTCCTTCCTTCCTTCCTTCTGAAAAATGCACTATCTTAGGTGCACACAGGAAAACATTGTACAAAGAACCCACCAGCACGTCAACAGAGCAGGCTTCTGCACACAGCTGCCTCGGGCCCCCTTCTTTCGCCGCGGCCCCGAAATGACCTGGGTCCCGCTTCCTAGAGCAGAGGGCCTTCCCCGGCTCTGCCGAGGTGGGATCGCGGGTACGCAGCCTTCTGTGTCGGCCTCGCGTCAGTCGGGGTGATGCCTCCGGGTCTCATCTGCGTTTTCGCATGGCCCACAGTTTCTGATAACGTGAACACAGCACGATTCGCTTCTCCAGACTCTTGGTGATGCATTTTCTAAGCTTTTGGCCAATATCACAAACAAAACTTCTGTGAACACATTTCTGCCCGTCTTTTTTGTGCACATAGACGGCTCATGCCTCTTGGGTTTGTACCTAGGAGTGGAGTTTCTGAGTCCCAGGGCAGGACGTTGTTTCACGTGGAGGGAGTTGCTGTTCTTCAGGCAAGTGCACAGCGTCACGCTCCGGCAGCCGCATATCCTTGCCAGCACTCCGTGTTGGAGTCTGTGTAATTCTAGCCCTTCCAGCAGGAATTTTGTGATATTTTTATTTTATCACAGTTTCCTGATAACTGAGGGAGTCGAGCACCTCTTTATACCCCGGCCACTGGGAGCACCTTCTTTTCCATGTTGGTTACAAAGCCCTCATGTAGTCTGCATCTGGTTCTTGTCAGGTCGACATGCACTGTGGATATTTTTATAATTTCAAAATGCTTGTTTTTACATATTTACCAATATCTCAGGCCGTGGCTTGACTTTTCACTTTCTTGACATCTCTCTGACGAGAACACGTTTTCAGTTTTTATGAAGCCCAGCGTATCACCCGTTTTTTCGGTGAATACCTTTTGTGTCCTGAGGAATCTCTGTTTACCCCAGGGTCATCCAGGTTCTCTGTGTTTTCTTCTGGAAGCTTCTACCTCTTGGTCCAGGGTCTTCTGGGTTGCCACTGAGGCGTGGTGTGAGGCTGGGGTCGCGGCCCGCCCTTTCCCGGGATGGCAGGTCCCTGCGGCACGATGCGCCGAGGCACCCTCCTTCCCGTTGGCGTGGCTCCTCTGCAGAAAGGCAGTTGGCCACACGTGAGTGGGTCTGTCTGGACTCCTCTGTTCCGTGGACCTGTTTTTCTTCCCTTTCTCCCGTGTTACGCTGTCTGCACGGCTGTGAACCTTGAGATCTTCCACCGTGTTCTTCACAAGGGTCTTGGCTGTTTTAGGTCCTGCTGTGCATTTCCGTTTCCATCTGGAATCAGCTCGTCAATTTTCATTTTGTTGAGTCCTTAAAATCAGTTTTGGGAACGCTGACTTCCTAATAATATTGAATCTTCAGGACACAAATACGATGTCTCCATTTATTTTCACGTTTCTTAACAGTGTTTCATCGTTATCAGTAGAAGGTTTCCACGTAGTTCATTAAGTTTATCGTTAGGCATTTGGCATTTGTAATGCTGTTACAAATTTTGTTGTTGTTGTTGTTTCTTTGTTTTTTTGAGACGGTCTCACTCGGTCACCCAGGCTGGAGTACAGTGGCGTGATTTCAGCACACTGCAATCTCTGCCTTTTTTTTTCTTTTTGAAACGGAGTCTTGCTCTGTCGCCTAGGCTGGAGTACGGTGGTGTGATTTCAGCTCACTGCAACCTCCGCTTCCTGGGTTCAAACGATTCTCCTACCTCAGCCTCCTGAGTAGCTGGGATTACAGACGCATGCCACTACACCTGGTTAATTTTTGTATTTTTAGTAGAGACGGGGTTTCGCCGTGTTGGCCAGGCTCGAACTCCTGACTTCAAGTGATCCACTCGCCTTGGCCTCCCAAAGTATTGGGATTACAGGCATGAGCCACTGTGCCCAGCCTAATTGTTTCTTGATGTTTGGTTATTAGTGGGTAGAAATACACTTGAGTTTTGTAAACCAACCTCATATCCCACAGCCTTCTAAATTCTCCATATTAGGCTGGGTACAGTGGCTTGTGCCTGCTATTGTAGTGAGTTATGAGGCCAAGGCCGGAGGATCACCAGGAGTTAGAGACCAGCCTGGATGGCATAATGAGACCTGCCTCTGCCAAAAACAGATTCTCTTGAATTTTCTCTTGCACACACTGCTGTGTCACCTGCAGATAAACACAGATTTACATTTTCCTTTCTGATCTCTGTGCCTTTTATTTCTTTAATTTCTTTATTTTTGCCTTTTTTGCATTAGCTACAATCGTCAGTAGCAGTGACTTGCAGGTGTTACTGTCTTGATGTGGGAGAAAAAGTTTTTGATATTTCACCATTAAGTAGGAAGTTTGCTTTCATCTTTTTGTGGTCTGGTTAATTGGTCTGATGTTGAGGTAACCATCCCAGCTCTTTTGATCAGTGTTTATGTGGTATGTCTTTTTTCATCCTTTTAATTTCAGCTTATCTCTGTTCTTATGTTTATCATTCAGATGAATGGTCTTGCTCTGTCACTCAGGCTACAGTGTGGTGGTACAGTCATGGCTCACTGCAGCCTTGAGCACTGGGGCTCAAGAGATCCTCTTGCCTTAGCCTCCGAAGTAGTTAGGACTATAGGTGTGTGCCACTGCAATTTTTAAAAATTTATTATTATTATTGTTATTATTATTATTTTGGTAGAGACAAGGTCTTGCTGTGTTGCCCAGGATGGTCTTAAACTCCTGGGCTCAAGTGGTCACCCTGCCTTGGCCTCCCAAAGTGCTGGGATTACCGGTGTGAGCCATGGCGCCTGGCTTCTGTGTGTGCGTTTAAAGTGTGTCTGTTATTAATAGTGTATAGTTGGTTCCTCTTTCTTTTTTCAGTCTGACAGTCTTTGCCTCTTGAGTGTTCCGTTCATTTATTTTTAGTGTAATTGCTGCTCATTTGGATTTCAGTGTCGTCTGGCTACATGTTTTCTGTTCATCCTTGTTTTTCCTTTCTGGCCTTCTTGTATGTTAATCAAGTGTTAAATGATTCCTCGCATCTGTTGTTGCTTTTTAATCTATACCGACTGCTTAGTGATCGTGTTTAGTTTTACTTTAGAGATCAGGATATGCCTTCGTAACTCACTGCCATCCGGCATAACCTGTGAAGCCTCGTCGAGGGCAGTAAGAGGCCTGCGGTGGCTCCTCTCACCCTTGGGCTGCTGCCCTCGGGCCCATTTTCTACGTCTGTTGTGCGGAAAACCATACAAGAAGCTATTGGTCATGAGTCTTTCAACATCAGGCCGATTTTCCACGTCTGTTATGCAGTAAACCATACAAGAAGCTATCAGTCATGAGTGTTTCAAGGAATTTTTCAGTAATTTTTGTTTTTGAATATTGACCGACACATCCACCCTTTCTGCCTCCTTGTTTATCCCACCCCCAATTCTGGCTGTCGTCGGGCATCACGTTCCTGTAGCCTACAGACTCTGTTAGAAACGTGGCTCACCAGTGAACGATTCCCTCCGCTTTTGTCTGAAAATGTGTTTTGCCTTTTTTTTTTTTTTTTT